TGAGATTCTATACACATTAGTACCGTGCCATCATCAACTGCCAATGGTTGTTCTCGTCTATTGATTTGGAGAGAACATTGATTCCTTGCCAAAATCTATTTTGTACCTTACTTTTTATGCTCAATTTCATCGTATGTGCATAGCAGTGAATTACAGAAAATAAGAAGAGGATAATAGTAGAGTAGAGAGGAATTACGGATGAAGAAAGTGCTCGAAAAGCCAAGCCCGAAGAACTGAAACGGATCGTTCTGGAAGGCCACGTTGGGGTCTCCAAGGATGGGTTTCCATCATGCTAATTTGTTGAAAGGCCCTTTGTTGTCTCAGAGATTGGTCTATGATTTTAAGCCTTGGTGTTTCGCCCCTTGTTGTGCCTGGTGCAACGGGATCTTTCTCTCCCATGGCTTTTCTTGTGGATTGAATTTGTTCCATAATCCCATCTTTCAAACACCTAAAATGTCTTGACATGGCTCGCAAAGCCAGAGCTGAGTAAACTGTGGCTGCCCCATTACCCGCCACTGCTTCAAAGGAGGAGACCACAGCCTTCATTTGGTTACAGTAATGTTTGTATCTTCGATCAACCTTGACAGCAAAAAGGGTAGACAAAAGTGAAAGAAAAGTAACATAAAAATTTCACTTTGAAAGTTACAGCCACCTTGGAATTGAACGAGTCTATGCAAGATTTTCATTAAAGTAACAGTAACAAAATGAAAGCAAAGTTGCTAAGAAAAGGTAAAAGGCAAAAACATTAGGGGAGTTTGTTGTGAGGATAAATAGAATGGCTCAATTGCCACGAGTTGGCATTGATGAAAAGGCCCGCACCAGCTTCTTAATTAGTTCAAGAATCAAAGTGGAAAGACCCCAATCCCATCAACCACACCAACGAAAAGTTAAGAACATGGATTGTGACGGGTAATTCACTTGAAGTAAAGGCATGGTTTTTACTCGCCCTTTTTCCATGTTATGTGGAACAATCACACTAGAGATATTTCCTTGCCAAGTACAAGCTCATCTCTTAAATGAAGCCAAAAGAAAACAAGAATATTTCAAACATATGTACCTCCTCCAGCATCGAGAGCAGCCTTGTCTTTCTCTTCTGCAATTCCACGAACTCTAGAGAGCTAAGAGAATGGTTCTTTGAGGAACCCCCGCCGTTGTTACCCTCTTCCCACTGCTTGTTCTTTTGAAAGTGCTTCTGCTTTTGGGCATCATTTTCCTTTGTGCCTAAACTACAAAACTCGTTCAGAAGCAGCTGCGCAGGCACCAAGAACTTAGAGTTTTTTATTAGAAAATGCCCCTGATAAATATTTGCAGCTTTGTTTGGACTCATATACCCGTCTTGTAATATTTGCTGTTGTTGTTGTTGAGCACTGACTGATTTTCCAAAATAACCCTCTCTTGAAACAAAATCAGAAAGATGCTGATGATGGTTTGTTTGTCTTAGCTCAAAAGATTGTAACCCAATACTTGAAGGGTTGGTTGAACTGAGAGAGAGTGAAAGGCCTTGGCTAGGCCTTTCGTTACCTTCACAAGGGAACACGCACCTTAAGGAAGAATCGTCGACCATTAACCTGTTTTCTTGCCACGGGGCAGAATCATGGGCACCACCTACTATTAAGTTTTCGCTACTTGTCTCAGAAATCCCTGATGTGAAGTCTTGCTTATTACTATACTCATGATGGTTATAAAAATTGCTAGAAGACTCGTTCATCGTTTTGGAAGAGGAAGGACAGGCGTGTTGACTTGGTTTGCCGAAGAAACTTTTCCACATGACCCCGTTGCTTTCACTGTGTGGCTGAAGATTCTTGGAAAACCCTATCATCTCCATGCCAGTGGTGAGGTTGAACATCTCTGGATCGGTCACAAAGCCTTGGATGTGGTTCATCAGATGGGGTTGAAGAGTTGGGTTGTTTGATGACACATCTGAGTAGAACAACCCAGTTGATGAAGCCATGTCCTTGGATTTGTCTTCACACAATTGTCGAGCCATGAAATCAACTCGAATATTGTTTCACTTCTTGTTAATTTATGTCCCCAGCCACACTTTCTGTTGTAAGGGATGTGTTTTCATCGGGGTTGATTATCCCACAACAGAACTAAGAAATAGAACCCTCCAATAGTCAAATACAGAAGAAAGCAAGAAAATGAAAATTTATGTGTCTATGTGTACAAAGACTTACATGACTTATGAGTATATATATTTTGTTGGTTTGAAAATGAAATAATTGAAAGAGTGAAAGATCTTACCTTAGTGGAAGATGAGTGGAATAAGAAGGTTAGGGTATGTGGTTGTTGGATGAGAGTGGTGATGAAGCTGGTGGTGACGTTGATGGTGAAGCTGTGGATGCAAATTGATGAGGAGGGTAAATTAGAGGGGTAGTGGAAGCTGTTTTTCCTCAGTGTTGTGCTTTAACAAGGCAACATGAGGGTACCATGAAAACCAACCTAGGAAGAAAGATGAGATATACTTCCTCAGAAATAGAAGATCAGATAGGGGTGACGATGACCTCCATGCTATGATCATCATTGATATATGCCTGCTGCTCCACTGCTCCCTCTCTCTCTCTACCTATGAAGAGAAGCGGGTCAATGCAGAAAGATATATTAATACAAGTATGCAAACGGAAACAGTCTTCTTTTAAAGACAAAAAAAAAAAAATCAAGGAAATTTCCACAATTATTTCTAATTATTAAAAAATTCTGCAATCACTAAAAAATAATCATATTAAAAATATCCATCTTAAATACAATACAAATAAAATTATACTACATATCTCTAATCTTGCATAAATACTGATGAATTTAATTTTTATGACTATGTCATGTTTTTATGCATTGCTATATTATTTAATAGCTTATATATTTTTTTAACTGTATTATAACACATTCGTATACAAAAATGATGTGTATAGTATAGGTTAAATTCTAGAATAATTAATTTTAATAATAATAAAAAAAATTAACCCGAAAGTACACATAACATGGACCAGTTGCAACAACACAATGAAGTTACGATCGTCCTTTGCCTCATATATTAAACTGCCGGTGCACAAGCCGCCGCATGAGTTGCTCTTTCATTTGCTAACACATGATTTTTCACAATAATATGTATTATAGATAATTTATTTTATTTTTACAACTCGTAATAATATTTTAAACTTTATCCTTTTATGCTTTTTGATCGATATAAATCGTACTAAGAATGTAAAAAAATACCAAATATACATAGATGCGGGAAACAAATTTCTCAAAAAGGATTATATAAGAGAAAAATTAAAAAAAAAAGAAATAATTTGTTATATAAATTAATTAGTGGAAATTCTCACTGATTTGCTTAAATTAATTTAAAAAAATATTTTATAAAAAAATGTGAATACTTGCCCAAAACAAGAAATGAAAATGTAAATTATTTTATTCATTTGCAATCCAAATTTGCATTGTTTGAAAATTTTGAAAAAAAATGATTTTTTATTTTTTTTAAAAGGTAGAAGGGAATACTAAGGAAAGCTTTGTAGGGAACGAATCCCGAGATTGAAGTCATTCCTAAGTAAAGTGTTATACAGGCTTTTTCAGATGGGTTTGGGTGAGGAGGGTAGGGTTCTGGTGGGTCCTCTTTCTGCCTCCCCTATGTTGTCTTCCTCAACAAAAGCTACCTCACTTATTCTCACTTATTCTCTTCTCTTCTTTCTCAACACACTCATAAATACACTGAACTCCTCTGCTCTACGTAATTCACATGAACTATCTAACATTTCATGATTCCACAATTTATTATTATATTTTTTTATAACAAAACAAAAAAATATCAGGTTGTGTGAAAGTTAACCCACCTTCCCATGATACTGCGAAGAGAGAGGTTGAAAAGAGAAATGTAGGTGTGTTTGGATTTGAGTAGAATGTTTCTAGGGAAAATGTTAGGTCAACACTAGATGAGTGTTTACATAGTGAGGAAAATAGAAGATAGGGAAATAACGAATATCATAAGTGATGTTTCTTTCATGTCTAAATGCAGATGTTTTCTTTTTTTTTTATAAGAAAAAGTATTTGTTAGTGAGAGGTGTTAACCTAAAACTCCAACTACTTAAGGTTTAATAAGTTTTTTTTTTGTATTATTATTATTATTATTATTATAAGCATTAACATAGACTATTGAATTAAAAGTGGTGACTTAAAAAGCATCTTTATAAATTGTTATAAGGAATCAATCTTTATTCATTGGAATTTGTTCTTGGGAATACATGTGAATAGCTAAATTCACTTTATTTATTTTGTTAGGTGTAGAATTAACTAGACTCAAAATTATCTAAAATGTCTACATTAATTATCTCAGTTTTTATTCAGTTATATTATTGTTTTTTATGCTTGATTTTTAAATGAATTAGAATATATTTAAATTTTTAATTAAGAGTTAATGGATGTTTGAAGAAAAAACTTAATTATAGAATTAGTGATAATAATAGGTTAATTTTAATTAGACGTCATTAAACTCTATATCTATAAAGGTGATTAATTAATTTTAATTGTAAAGAGTTTGAGTTTGCAATTAATTGGTTTAAGTTGAATAGCTCAAGGAATTAAAATTTTAATAATTAAATGAGTTAATGATATAATTGGAATATATAACTTTGATAAATAATTTGAATTGTTACATAAAGGTGATTTAGTACAACTCAACCTTAATATCTCACCTAAAATTTTTCAAACTCTCAATTTGAAAATTAAATGCTCACCAACATGTATAGAGTTTTATTTTTATCATTTTACCTTTTATTTCAGTTGAAACGAAAAATACAAATATCAAATATCTTTTGAGATTTTTGTACTCTAAAAGACTCATTTAACTATTTGTAAATTTGATACACTTGTCAAAAATTTGATTGAATGTAACTAAATCCAAAATATCTAATTAATTTTGATTATTAGAAAATGGTTAGATATCTTTAAATCCTTAATCTATTACTTGATTGAGATTTGAACCGATAATACAATTAAGTAATTAATGTTCACTCACTTTAAGCATTAATATGTAAATAATTGAGTAAATTTTATGATATATATTGAATATAACATGAATTAATACTTTATTGGTTGCATGAGGATGATTAGTAATTTATTTTTCATATTTCACACCTCTACAATTTGCATACTCAACTGTTCAATAAAATCACAAACAAGTTATATTATTTTTCCTCTAGTATTTTTTTTTATTTCATTTATTGCACAAAATCAAACTTTTTTTTCTTCAACTTGAATTAATATGCAAATGTATGCGAGTACTGCGTTGAAGTTTTAGAACTGCTTGTGAATTTAATAAGCTTGATAAAATCCTCAATAATTGTCTCAAGATTGAGCTTTGTGAGCGGATTCATGTGGTGATGATGAAGGGAATCAAATGACGAAAGAAACAAATAAAGAGATATATTATTTTGATTTTTTAAGAAGTCTTTAATGCTCGTCCAATTTTTAAATTAATAAATTCTATCTTCTAATTTTTAAAAATATATAATTTAGTCTTTTTTATATATAAATTTAATATTTAATATTGATTTTTTTATTATAGAATTTTCATAAGGTAATTAAATTTATAAAATATATAATTTTAGTATTTTTATTTTAGTTAAAATTAATATTTAATAGTGTTGTTTATACAAATTTGATAAAACGACTAAATTTTTTTTTTTAATTTAAAAAGTTAGTTTATCAACTTTAAAATATAGAGATCAAAATTAAATTTATATAAGAAAATATCCATGTTACTTTACATCGGTGGAAATGCTATTTTCATATTGTTACTAGTTAAGTATTTAGTAATACTCATATTTGAATTAATTTAAATATAATATCTTATTGTACCTTTACTTAACAACTTAAATAAACATAATATGAATATTCGTATTAATTGTGAAAATCAATAATTTATTTAATTAAAGGTAAAATGTGTAGTTTAAAGAAGAACACATTCAAAGCAATAGTAATTGAATTTCTAAAATATAGAATATTACAAATAAATTTGTTAACTTAATTAAAAAAAAGTCTTGATGATAAAAGCATAATAAATATATTATGCGAGTATAAAATCAAATAATATAATATTCATAGAAGCAAGATTTCATAGATAATCCTTCCTATAATGACAAACTAATTTGATAAATATGTTGATTACCCAAAAACAAAAATTATAACCACCGGCAACTATGGATGTGGGAGCTGATGGGGAATGTCACCTTCCAAAATTTTACAACTCTTATTAAATTTATAATCTTAGTTCCGTCAAATTTATTTATTATTTAATATATTTATTTATATATTTATAATTTTATTTTTTCCATTTTTTTTGTTCTCTTAAACTTAACGATTATTTAATATATTTAAATATATATCTATAATTTTATTTTTTCACATTTTATTTTATTTTTTATATTTATTTATTATTTATTAATAATATATAGTGAATATCCGTGAGTATAGTTAATAAAGTTAGTAATTTAATTTTTGATGGTGGATTGTTTGTTTGGATGATACGTTAAGATGAGGTGATCCTATCTTTGCCCATCTAAATCTTATTAATTGGTGTATTAAAGTACTCCACCCATTCTTCTCTCTCCATTTTGCATGGGAGGGACCGCATCCTTTATTTTTATTATTCATCAACCAAACATGCCCCTCCACGCGCATCTGCTTTCACACCCAGAACTCAGCATTAATGTCAATTAATGCTACATAAGTACAATTATTAATCAATCATGAATCATGATTACTCAGACTTAAAAACCCTTTTTTTCTTAATTGCATCAAAACTTTAGTGAACATTATCACCTACTAATTCCCTTTTCAAGTGTATGATGGTAATGGCCCACGAAATTACTCCCTTCATCTAATTAAAGGCAATTTGAAGAAATAATTATGCAAAGCAAATAATAAAAATGGTGTATTAGTTTGGAAGAGAATGAATGAAAGAGAGGGTAGGGAAAGAGACGCGCAAGAGAAGCGAGTGGGAGAGTGAAGGAAGGTGGTTTAAATAAAAGGGTGGTTGGTTGGTGTTTGTGGTCCTTTCTTTCTCTCTTTCATTCTTGGCTTGGGGCACCTTTCTCCGCCGCTTGCCAAATTTCTCTTCTTCCAACCCAACACAACCATGACATCACACACACACACTTACACTTTCTGTTTCTCTCTGAATCTGATGATGCTTTTTTTTCTCTGCAGTACTCTCTGTGCAGTACGCACTCTGCGCATGCTTTCCATCCTATCCTATCCTAGTCCCCCCCGACCAACCACATCCCACCGCACACACTTAACTCCAACTTTTCACACACCACCAAAATTAATCACTCCCTCTCTAATTTAAAAAAAAAATTATAATTTATTTTTATTTTCAATAGCATGTGAAGTAGCTCATAAAACTAACTAAACTACTACAATAATTTTTCTTTGGGTTTCAATTTTTATTTTTCCAGTCTATCCATCTTATTCCCATAACTACTGTACTTTCAATATTTATATGAGATTAATGGCTTCGTCTTCGTTCTAGAGACAGGTGATAATTTTAAACCCATGTTTTATACATTCTTTTATTGAGAAAAGGGAAAATATCCTATATTTTGATGAAAAAATTTGCATGGAATAATTAATAAAAAAATAAAAAAAAAAAACATATTTTGTTTCTTCTCTCGTGTAGCTCAATCGATTGGATACGAAAGATTTTGTAGATAAAATTGTTTTAACTAATACAACCTTTCATATGATGATTGTGGAGTATGATTTATTTATGAAAAAGAGGTCCAGTAATGTATTAGTGTAGATTAAAAGGAAGGGTATATGGGAGTGTAGAGTCCCATAGAGTAGGTACTACAGAGAGAAGGTTACCTTACAGATGGAGAGAAGAAAGAAGAGTAATTAATTATGTGGGTACGAGAGAAAGAGGGGTGAATTGGGCACTCCACAAATGGCGGGGGATTGTGTTGTGTGAGTAAAACTGTGGTGAAGTCGCAGTGATGATTTCTGCCAAATTTTCTTACAGGGTTTGAAACTTGCAACTAGATGCCTCAGCAGCAGGCTATAACCATTCTAGGGTGGTCCATCTTCATATTCCTTTACCACATCAAAATTACTAACCTCTTTTCAGTCCTACACACAGGTATATTTGTGGCTCCTACTTAGGACCATCCTAATCCTACACACTACCTAGGGTTACTGCTTTTACACAACTGGTAAAGCTAGGCATGCAAACCCCAAAACACAAAATTCATGCACCTTTTATTAATTACACCATTTCAACCTGTGTCTCAGATTGAGACATCTTCACTTGTAGAGAAAAAACCAACATCCTCGAACTATGCTACTACCTCCCATCGTCAACCTAGACAATAATATTAATTACATTCTTTTGTCCCCATAATTAAATCACCTAAACCCTCCAAGTTTTGCCACTGTGTCCCATGTTTAAGACCATCAATTTAATCCTCTGTCTTTACTTTTCTGGTTACCAAGTTGTTGTAGTAGTTTTCTTTTTGGGGTGAAATTCTACTTAATTGATTTACCAATTGCCAATATATGCCATTTTATTGCTAATCCTGTTATGATTAATCCTAATTAAGTAAGTAACTTCAGTTACATAACCTAACATGTCTGATCTCACTAGTTGACCACCGGACACATTTGCAACTGTATCACGAGCTTTCTCAAAGACATATTTAGATGAGTTTTTTTTTTTTAAAATTATCATTTTGTTTACCTGTGATAATCATAGATATTTTTTGTTTTTTGTTTTTTATAATAGTATGTATAAATAATTAAAAATATAATATTAGATAATAAATAAAATATTAAAATTAGGTCAAATTTATTTCACTTTTTACTTGTTTTTCGTCTTATTTTTCACTCATATTCTTTTTCTTATTTTTCTTTATTACTTTCTCACCCTCCATCATCAATACAAAACATTAAAAGTGTTTAATATGTAAATTAAAAAAAAAATGTAATATATTTTTTTAACAAACTAATTTCTACTTAAATTATTATTTTTTTTATTCTTTTTTCCTCTATATAGCTATTTAAAATAATTTCTATTATTTTTATTCTACTTAAATATTTTTCTTGCATAAATTCTCATGAGAAAGTTTGTACAAACGTTGTGAGAGCTTAAAGCAAAACCTGAGCAAATTTCCATTTGGACTTAAAGCCTTCACTATTTGCTTACCCTGTCTTCTTGTTTTCACTCTCATAGACACGTGTCCATCTTTTTTCTTTGCATTTATTCATTCCATTTTAACTAATTATATTTATCATTGCAATTGGAAAACTAAATATTTCTTGATAATTATATATTTTCTAACGCATTTATTATAATACATTTTTTTATTAATTAAATTTTATAAAAATATACAGTTACCACTATCAGCTTATTAAATTAGTCATACAATTTACACAACAATTCTATAACTTTTTAATTAATTTAACTAATAATAAAATGTGTATTGAAAATTTGTTTTAATTTGAGAGTATACTTTTGAACCCACTTTAACTTTGAATATGAGTTTCCAAGTTGAACACACTTCCTTTGCCCTTGTCCCTGGAATATTGTGTTAAAATGTTTTTGCAGAAGACAAACTTAATGAAAGCTACTTTTTTTTTTTATTCGAATCACTTCGTTTGCTTCTTATTTTTTCTGCTTTAAATTCCAACATGAAAGCTAATTTTTCTGGTTGGACGGCTTCTTCAGACAACATCATATTTTTCATATTATTATGATATTGATTTTTTGGGTAATAAAATAAAGTAAGATCGAGAAAGAGGATGAAAATGCAAGTAAGAAGTAAAACAAAACAACCTCAGTTTTCGATTTTCATTGTGTTCTCAGGCATCAATTAACAAACACACGGTCAATATTCTGTATTTTAAGTGTGTCCTTTAATGCTGTAAAAAAAAAACAATTCACTTAATTAATTTTATCAAATTTTTAATAATGAAATATTTAAAAATAAAACAATTATACAAGAAAAAAAAAATATAGCTTCTGTTTGATGATAAGAATGACAATGGAGGGTAATTATTTAAGATAAAAAAGAAAATATCTCATGTTGGTGCACATGATGTAATCAATAGGTATTCATCAGTATAAACAAATATTAAAACATTTTAACATCATATACACCAATTTTTTTCTACAACTTGAAATTACCGAGAATTAAAATAATACTGCAATAATCAACCCACTGAAACAGTCACTACATGGATGATTTTTTTTTAATCATATATATTAAAGTTCTTAGCTATAAAATTGCTATATATATAAGTTTTCTGATTTGTCTAATTTAGTATGTAAAATTATTTTATTTTACTTTATTAAAATTTTATATATGAATTATATATATGTATATATTGTTTATTAGATATATTAATTATAAATAGGATACTAAAAATATGCATTTATATAGTATTTATTTAAACTTCATGCATAAGCGTTTGCCTTAAATTGTAAAATAAATTGATTAATGGGCCTTTCTTTTATCTTGAATAACCCATTTGTCAGAAAATAGTTAGCATTTTGCATATATGACCCTTATATATATATATATATATATATATATATATATATATATATATATATATATATATATATATATATATATATATATATATATATATATATATATATATATATATATATATATTATTAATTTGTCAGTTGGGCCTGTACTTTAAGTTTGGACTTTAAATATCACAACTCTCTTTCGTAATGCTCTAATTGGTTTTCTTATTTAGGCAAAATAAATAGAAGGAAAGATAGAAAGAAAACATTGAACCCAAATCACTTCTCTTGTTTGGTTTATTTAATAAAGTGAGAAAATGAAAGAATAACGCTGAGACATACATGAATATTTATTCCCTTCAACAGTGAAATGAAAGTGAACACTAACTCATTTTTAATATAGAAGAATAAATTAACTTAACTTTCTCATTGGTATATTCATTTTTGTTTTTTAATACAAAATTATTTTTTTTCCTTATCAAATAATTTAAAAATCACCCCATCCTTTTTTCTTTCCTAAACCAAACCTGTTAGTGGTTAGGCTCTTACATTCTTTACTGAATTTCAGAGACCTTTGTTCTATTTATTTATTTTTTTGCCATTTTTTTCATCTTCACCCTTTTTTTTATATACTCTGTAAATTCCACTTTCAGTCTCTCTCTGTTTTTATTTTGTACTTCAACCCTTCCTTTAGATATAAACTTTATACCATATTAGAATTTTATATACTAAACAAAAAGATGAGTTTTCTTTTTCTTATCTCGAATGAACTATTTATCCAAAAAATAGTTGATAATTTAATGTGGTTCTAACTCAATAACATGAGCACTTAAAAACCTCAATAATACGAGACTTATTGCCCCATATAAAACATATAGAAATTTTCATTTGAAAATTTTAATAACAAATTATGCCATGTTAATAAATAACTTGTAGATGTATAAATATATTATAAATAAAATTATGTAATTAAAAATTATAATTTACACCTTACATATTTCGTCAACACAGATACTGGAATAGTGTTATTCTCGTGTTGTGAGTAATTTTACAATTCTCCAAAAAAAAAATTGTTATAGATGCTCAAACAAATTAAAATCAAAGACATAGTTTATTGAGAAATTATATTTGTTATGTTTTTTTAGGTAACAAAGCATTTAGTAGACTTCTACAACCTGTTAAAACATAATATATATATATATATATATATATATATATATATATATATATATATATATATATATATATATATATATATATATATATATATATATATATATATATATATATATAATGTTGCAGAATCTGTTAGGTCATATTTTTTAGATAAATATGATAAAGGTTAACAAACTTACATGGCCATTTCTATTTAAATGATAGTGTAAAAATATTGCATGTTATCAATATATAGCCTATTTTATTTTTCTTAAATTATATGAAATTAAAAGAAATACAATGAAATACTTTTTTATTTAACATTATTTTATATTTAGAGAAAACGAAATAGAATTATATTATATAATAGTAACAAAATTATCATTAACTTCGTGTTATTGTTAAAATAACGAAACAAAAGTTTTTATCAAAATAATAATATTTTTTTTATTCTATATTACATGCGATTCTATAAAAGTTCATCTCATTTTACATGTCTTTAAATATTCATGTATAAAGCCTAAAACAACCTACAAGCTTGTAGGCAAAAGAAGGCTTACGAAGCATTTATGTTGACAATCCAAAAAATAGTTTTTGTGTGTGTGTGTGTGTGATCTATCAATTAATAAAACTATCAGAGATTGTTGTTGGTAATAAACTATTATAAAAACTCAATAATTTTACTTGATAGTTTGTAATTAAGTGATAATATGAAAATGTTTTATGTTATTATTAGATACAAACATTTTATTCAATAGGAAATTTGAAAGTGAAAGACATTTGACAAATTTGTAGTCATGATGAATTAAATATGCCAAGAGAAGACAAGGCACAGTACTTGACAGCGATGAGTGAGTTTTTTACCAGGATTTAATGGGTGAGACATGGCCGTTTTTCTGCTCTGTTTTTTTACCTTGTTTACAGTAGTTTGTAGAATTGAAAAAAGGGGGCAACATGGTCATGTTTCAGATCAAGCTTTTTTCTTACTCGACGTACACCGTTATGATTGTTGTCCCTTTTCCCTTTTCTTTCATTGTAACATTTCTGCAGGCTAGCATGTCGACAGAACCAATCAGACAGCGGCATCTTTCACTTCTCCTTAGCAAATAGCAACTAGTTGGAGGGTCAAGATATTTGTTCAATTATCATGTCTCCATCGAGCATACATGTTTTTTGGTCGTTTCACTAGTATTGTTTGCAAAAGCTATTTCTTTCTACTTCTTCATGATTGATTGGAAAGGGTGATTCTTTTCTTTTTTTTGCGAAAAACATGGATGTGGTTTAATTTCTATATAGCTATTTGACCATTGTTTCATAAACAAGCTAAAACACTAAATATCCCAGATACTAAATGTCCCACAAGTCAAGTTCCTCATCTAAGAAAGATCCAAAAACCCAAGAATGGTGAAGGTTTCGAATCTCTCGAACTTTTGTTGAAAAGCAAGAAATAGAAAAAGAGTCCACAATCCTCGGCAAAGAAATAAATTATATTCCCAAAGTTTAACCTCAATCGAAGTTATTCCCATATATAAACACAACCGATTGAATATATTCAATACTCAATACCATTCAATAATCAACATAACCTAATTTGCAAGAAAGATATAAGTATATATATATATTCATCCACGTCATCATCTTTGCTTGCATTCAAAGCTATTTGATGCTCTACCATAAAAGATGTTATCCTGGTGTTGATCTTCCATGAAACTCAATGGAAGTTAACCTGCCACGAATTGTTGAACTTGATAAATTTGGCTCATCTCAGGAACTTGGAAAATTGAAGGCCAATCATTCTTCCACAGCATTCAACTAACTTGAACTCTTGACAGGGAGCTTGCATTGAACGATCAGAAACTTATATTTCGTCAATGAAACTACAGAAAGAAAATTAACACGAATATTGAATTATTTTTCAGGAAAATATATTTTTATTTATGTTTCGGAGCAGTTATGAGATATTTCCCGAAGAGGCATTTTCTAAGGAATAAATTTATGTGACATGCCCTGACAAATAAAAGTGAATAAATTAGAAATGTGCCAATCAAAAGCACGAATATGGCAATGGATATGAAAACCAACAAATCAGACAACTAACTGACTAAGGCGCAGTTTACCTGCATGAGACAATAATGCAGCATTATAGCAAATAAGAGATCATTAGAGCCAAATGCACGAAAGTATTGACCAGCATGTTCATAAACTTCACACCAAGAAATGAAACAGAAGAATCCCATACTTATAAATTTTTTTAAGCAGATTGACTTCATAGAGCAGAAATCAAGCATCTAAACTTTGCTATGAGGCCATCACGAGATAGACAGTACGAGTCACAGACAAGTTAACAACACTTAAACAGCACCCAAGCATCAGAAAATGGAAATGACCTTAACCATATTACAAGAAAATTTAGTGTTTAGTCAACCAGATTAATTTTATTTTATACTTCACTCTGACAAGTCAAAGTTTCTATCAGAAATACGAAGGCATCAACTCTAACTACACATTGCACACGATTGAATTTGCAGGTCGTAGAGGAATCAAACAGACATGATCATAAGAAGCATAAAAGGTGACGTACCCAGTAATTTACAGCCAATTCTTCCACAGTGGAAAAATCTGTTTTCAAGGGTTCTCAACTGATGTAGTTGTAATTCGTAATTGTCTTGTGCGTTCTGGCTCTCCATTCCTCTTCCAGAAAGCCCTTCTCCACCAAACTTCAAACCCTCTTTGAATATTTGGACAATCTTCACCAGAATTCAAGAAACGATTAAACCAAGCAAGCAAAATATCCTGTTGCCAGGAAAGTGGCAGAGTAAGAATCGTGTTACTAAGACCATCCTCAATTAGGTGCCTATCTAGCCCCTTGGATGCCCTTCTCATCCAACCAAAGTCATCATAAAAGGGTACCAGCCATGTTTTTAGAAGCAAACACCTGACGTCTTTAGAAGCCAACAATTGTCCTTTCCCAATCCCAACAAACAACCTTGCTGTAACTCTGCTAATCTCAAACCTGTGAACTGCTGGAATTTTAGAATGAGCTTCAGCTAAATCGGCTTGAGATGCCCATGTTTTCAGGAAATCCTCAGCAATTTGCCTGTCAACTAAAATATCCAAAATCCAATGCAAATTGTCCGCTTGTCTTGCAATTTGACTCACATCCTGCAAGTCCAAAGCTGCAGCCTGCAAAAAATGGTGACGAAGTAACTGCAGGCAATCATCACATGCTAAGTACAACGACTCCTTCCGAAGATCATTCTGAGAAGAATTTTCATGCAGCATCTTCGACACTAACCCTTTCATCTCACGCCTGGCCTTCTCATCCTTGCCTTCAAGAACAACACGGATAAGCTTAAGCAGAACCTCCTCATTATCACTCCCCTCTTCATTTCCATTGGCAGCAGCATCAGTTGAAACCCTCTTCAAAACCTCCCCAGCTCCAACTGCTTCAAGACGAAGCTCAGACAGGAGCGAAGCCACCTTCTCTTCCTCATCCTCCGCCCACGGTGCCGCTTCCAAGTACTCCAAACAAGACAAAACCCCAGCATCAAACCCAATGGCAGCTGAAACCTAAGAGAAAAAACCACAAAACAAAACAGCTAAGAACGAGAAAAGAAATGCACTGCCCTAATAAATAACCAAACCAATAACCTAAACAACAGAATTTCCATCCTCCAACTGTTCACATTCGAAATTCAAACTTTTCCTATTGCCTAAACCAAACCCCGCATTTTCATTTAATTATTATCCACGATCCATCTAATAAAACAGAACAACCACTAACTAAACTGTTTCATCCCAACAAAAAATCTCATATTGTTTGGAATTTGAGAGTAGTAGTAGTTTGGATACACTTCCCCAGACCCATTAACCACCGAGACACAGTTTAGAAGATATCTCAGATGGCGTGAACCTGACAATGCAACCAAATTTATGCCTGAACAAAATAACAAAACCCCCAAATACGGCGTTACCTTTAAGATACCGAGAACTCGGGAGACATCCTCCCTCATGAGCTTCTTCCTAAGATCCTTACAATACATCAACCTCAAGGTCTCGATGTAAACCTCAACATCGTCGCAATCGGCGATTTCAACTTCGTAGGGAACCGGCGAGCGCTGCTGCTGCTGCTGCTGCTTGGTCCAGCGATCGGAGAGTTTCACCGAGAAGAACCTACTGTGCGCGACGAGGATTTGGCGATGCACGTTCATGGAGACACTGATTCCGTCTTTGGAGCTGAGCGTGAGCTTGATGTCGCTGGAAACGGCGTCGTTAAACTGGTTCCCGGGGCTGCGGGACCCTAACAGGTCCGAAATCCGCTGCATCGTGAGGGCGTGGCGATCGAGAATTTGGGGTTTGTGGAGTGAGGACGCAGCGGCGGCGGCAGTGGTGGTGGGAGGGATGTGGGTGGTGGGCCTGTGGTGGACATCGGGCTCGCTGGCCATCATTTCGAAGAGCGTTGGGCTGGATCGGGTCTTGTCGGGCGGGGGGGACATTGGGTTCAAGAGGCCCGCGGTGAGGGCGGAGTTGAACTTGGAGAGGCTGGAAGGGAAAGGTTCGTGGGCCTGGGCCTGGGGCAGGTGGTGGCCGTTGGCGGTGGGGGAGGAGTGGGTGAAGTCCATTATCGGGGAGAAGCGCCCCGGGGAGAAGCGGATCCTGTAGGTGGAGGGTGAATCAGGCAATGCAGACGGTTCGGGTTCGGATTCGGGTTGAGATTGGGGTTGTGAGCATGAAGGGGATTGCAGAGTGCGGCGCTGAGGGGTTGTTTGGGTGTCGTTTGGAGAAGCGGATGCGGAGATTGTAGTTTCCCGATACTTGCGTCGTTTGGGCTTGGTGGGCTGGTTTTGAAGTTTGAGGAAAGTTGTTGTAGTTGTCCCTGCCATCCAATGTTGTTGTAGTGGTAATGACTAATGACACTTCTACTAACGTTTTTCCTCTTGTTTTTGTTCTTGTCCTTTTCCGCATGGGAGCCTCACTGGAGAGAGAGAGTGGCGCACGGTTTAATAAATGGCGGTGGAAACGAGATGTGTGAGGTGGGAGTGCCACATAAAATGACAGGGAAACAGCCGGAGAGGCATTAATGGCTGCAAGATAAATGCTGAAAATAAATATAAAATTTGTGGGGTGTTTGTTTGTTTGTTCAGGAATTTAAGAGATTCACTACTTTTCATTCTAACTCCCTGTTGTGCTCTTTGGTAGCTACATCACTCACATGCACAACAGACATTCAAAAATCAAAAGATATATTTCTAGTAGATCTCTTCAACCAACAATTTTTCAAATTTCTATACTTTAATTCTTTTTATACAAAATAATGTGATCAATGAAACATTAATAAAAGTTATTACAGGTTTCAGTTTTACTTTTTATTATTATTATTAATACTACTAACACAACCATCTCCCATTCAAAATCTCTTTATCAACATTCCTGTCATGAAAATGATGCTATAAATAAATGCTTTAATTTGCTTGCAAATTTTGCTTATTCTGCATAATCAACTCATCAATACTCCACAAATAATAAATAAATGATGATGGAAGAAGAGAAAAATAAAACCCACCTCCTTTAAAAATATGAAAAAAGTGTGTGATTAGATAAAAACTAAACTTAATATAATTAGTAGTTTTTTTCAATAATTAATGTATAAAATATTTGAATATTAAAATGGAATTGAGAAATAGGAATATTTCATTATATATGGTTATACTTTATATATATATATATATATATATATATATATATATATATATATTTTTTTTTTTTTTTTTAAATGTTGGTTTTGACTTTTGAGTAAGACAACATGACCTATTGATATCCCTTCATTTTATCATTAATGATCCTAATATTAAAATTAAGATTTCAGGCATTTTATTTTTTGGCTACCCTACTCTACTTCAACTACAGTTCTCCTGCACTTCTATTTTTGTCAGAGTTAATTTATTACCCGTGTATTTATCTTAGACTCTTGACATTTTTTTTATTATTATATGTGCAATACTTTTAAATTTTAAATACTATAAATTTTAGGAAAAAAAATTATAAAATGTGATATTATAGTTGGAAAAAATAAAGAGAGAAAAATATAATGCTCCCGAAGTTTTGGAGAATTGAAATGACAAAACAAACAAAATTTAAATTATACTCAACATGAAATTGAAAAATAAAAAATATAATTATTATTTTATTTTACGAACTTTTTATGAAACTCTAAAATTATAAAATAAATAATAACATAATGTATTCATAAATTAAAATTCATTATAAAAAATATATATATATATATATATATATATATATATATATATATATATATATATATATATATATATATATATAATATATATATGCACATTTGGTTGTGTATAGTTGAACTAATGATGGTGTCGATGGTTGGGCGAGAGACAATGACTGTGTTTTTTCATGGCCAGCTTTTCTTTTCGTAAAAGGAAAACAAATACACATAAGTTGTGTTTTTTCATCATCACAAATTATTATTTTAATTCCACAAATAATTAGTGTAATTTTTTTTTCTAGTTTTTAAGGCACGTTTGAATGATAGTTGCACTACTACCAGGGCTTCATCTCCCACCACATCACAATATTATAGGTGTCTGCTTCAAGTTATAATGCATTTAAATAAAATTATATGAAAATAAAATGCATATATATATTTTGCTAATTTATTTCATTTAATTTCACAGCAAACAAATGCGGTCTTCGTACACTTAGATATTGTTACCAACACAATGATAATATGCGTGAAAATTTTAAAAAATAATAATAATAAAATAATAAGCTTTAAAAAACTAGTATTCAAACAAACACGGTCTTACTTAATATAGTGTGGTGAGGGTTCATATTCTTCGTCTATCCCAGCATTTCTAGAAATAAGTTGTCTTTCTTCGTGGACCACTCAATTTGGGCCCCTCTATGGATACCACTCTAGGACTCCTACGTCCTTTTACTTTTACCCTTTTTCTCCTTCAAATTTAAAAATATTCAATAATGGGCTCTGGCCCACATACGGAATACTACTGGCCCAACAATTCAATTGTCAGGGCTCCGTTTTTTTCCCTCCATATATTTACAGTAGAGAAAATCACTCAGATATGTTACTGGCCCAATTATTCAATTTTCCTTCCCTCTCTTTTATTTTCCATTTTTAACTGTAGACTTTGAGGAACAGTCTTTTATTTTCTCTCCTTTTTTTTAAATTTTTTTTTATCTACAAATTTGACATCTATATTTTTTATTTTAGGTCGTTCTTAATTTTAATCATAAAAAATCTAAATTTTTTTAACTTGTAGGTCTCATAAAGAGATTTTGAAGGATTTTCTTAAAACGTGAAGATTAAAAAAATTCAATTAAATATATAAAATGTACATATGTCGGTCAACGACATGCAACAAAAATAAGAAAAAAGACAACTAGTAACTATAATTGTGTTCCCTCTTATATCAAACATTACTATTACAAATTTCTCGTTCTGTCTCGAAAATTCGATATCAGTTCATTAATGGCCACTTAATTAACAAAAATACATATAGAAAATATAAGAGTATGAAACAAAACAAACAAATAAAAAAAATTGTATGTTCTACATAAAAAAAAAATTAAAAAAATTGGACCCCATTATTCAATTTGTCATCTGTTTTAACTAATAAAAACAAAAATATCCACCCTACAGAAATGAAAACATTTATCACAAAAACATCCATAATCAATCATTTGATTGTGGGCTGCACCTGAGTTTGCTATATTTTTTAAAATAAAGTTAGGCCCATCTAATCACGTTGAACGAATGTAGCCCAAATAAGACCCAGTAGAAAAAAGTTTCACTTTCACAGGATAGTTTAAAAATATTTCAGAAGTTAATTAATTTTGTACTTTGGGTCACATTTGTGGAACTGGATAAAAGTGTTGGAGTAACCTCTTACACTTTTACTGCATATAAATACATATATCTACATATATCTGTATATTTAATCATAGTACTAAAATTACAATTATCTCATTCATATAAATTATATCTCCTCACTGCTCATAGTTAACTAGATTCACGCTAAGTTATGAAATTGTTTTGATAAATAGTGCTTCTGTTAGAAAACCCACTATTCTTGTAAACTTTAGAAATAAAATAACAACTATTTATATGTTGTTATTTCTTATCAACGATATTTTATTGTATGATTTTTCGCTCTTTCTATTATAAAACATGTATAAACACAAGTTGTGTTTCCCTTAACAAAAAGTGATTTGGGAGAGACAGTATTCAACTACAACACGTACGGTCCAAGGTACAAGCACTTTCTCAAAGAATCTAAGACATCAAGAAAGTGTTCAGATACTGAACATAATAATAATAGTAAAACAAAAACACATGAATTATTCTTGTTTCAATTTTAATCCTTCTATGGTACACTACAGATCATTGATTCACTTAACCCAATTGAATACTTATGCAAGCTGTAAAAACCACACAACATAGCTTGCTTAGCTCTTCTTTCTAGTCAAGCCATGTCAATGTCAGAACTTCAGCTCTTATAGCTTTCTTTATTTCTTTGTGTTTTGTGCCTGTCATTAAAGTAAGAGATAAAGAAAAGAAAGAGTATTAGTACCATATATACATGTTTTTTTTTTTTTTTTGAGGTATGACATTTAGGAAATGACTTTTCAGGTTATTAGATTAGGTTTAGGTGATTATTTTCCTCTTCATTAAACATTTTATTATTATTATTATTGGAGTTAGTTATCAATTGATTGGTTCTTTGCCAGAAAGATGAAAAAGTATATGACGGCTCATAAAAGAACTATGAGATGATGGATCATGGAATAATGATTAGTGTTACAATATCCAAATAGAATAACACAAGCACACGGAGAAAGAATAAAGCATGATATAACCCTCATGGTTTACATAAATTTTTTAATATATAACACAATATTGGATTATTTTTTTGTATTTCAAGAATATTTGTTAAAAATAATTGACATCAATGTAAATATTGTAATACATTAATTTGTAATTTTGAACTAAAAATTGTTTTAAATTGATTGTAAAGCAAAAGAAACTACACTTATCTCTCATCAAATAATTTATAATCACAAATATAATAATAAAATAATAAATTTTATAGTATATTTTATAATCATTTTTTTATATTGAAATAATATTTTCTCAAAACATAAATTTAATATTTTTAAATAAAAAATATAAATGTGAATGGAGAAAGTTTGAGTACAGTTTAACTTTATATAATTAGGTAGAATTTCTCTTGAAAAGAATAAAGAGTGCATACATATGACCATTATTTTTCTGTCCTCCATATTCTCTTGCCTATCTTTATTTTTAAAAACTTCTTTTGTTATTGATGAACATGTAGGCATTTTCTGTCAACATCTACAAATCATGAACGTGGTCTCACGTGTCAATTTAAAGAGTTATAAGAGGGGTGCATACAACCATTTTGCACATGCAGATAGGTGCAACTTGATGCAAATTATCCTTCTCAACTCTTATTTCGAAACCTTTGTCCATTGTCATGAGGCAAAGACAGTATCTGACAACCATATTGCAAGAGTTTTACTTTTAACCTAATGCCAGGCAACTTCTGAAACTCTGGTTAAACGTTTTGGTATCAACGGGGACAAGCCCATTTAAATTAAGAAGAACCAACTTGACTTAATTAGTACTCTTCTGTGGTAACAATATAGCAAGTGGAATGAAGAAGATTAGTCCCAATGAAAATTGATTATGGTTGGATTTAGCTGGTCTAATGTTCTGTTAAACTTATCCCCACATGTTGTATTTTATTGACTTGCATGGTTTTGTTGGAAAATTCAAACGAGTTTAAATTTTATACCGAGTAAAAATGAAAAAATAAAAAAAAAAATCATAATTTAATATCTTAGATCTTAGAATGAAAATGGTGTCAATCTTACTTCTGCGTTAGAGTCATACTAGTTTTATTCTTCCATGTCAATATCTCAGAATACCCAAGAGGGTTTGGTGAATGGGTTATACTGGTATTTGTGAAAAAATGGAGTATAATATGGTGATTGAATTTGAAGAACTTTGAAAGTGGACCAATGAGTGTCTTGGCTGCATTAGACACCAAGTCAGAGGAAAAATAGCAAAGAGTGATTGGCAGTGGTGGTGCATATGGTGGTTGGTGGCCTGACACAATGCAGGTTATAGAACCCTCCTCTGGTCCACTGTGGCCCAACATTCAAAAATATTCCCGCCCATTAACCATTGCTTATTTCTCCATCTACCTCACACTGAAATCAATGAGAGATTGTTGGAGTAAGAAGAAAGTCAGATTAATTAATGGCATACAAGACTTTTCAGTGAATGAAATTATATTTCAAGACACTTCTGTTAACTTTCTTAAACCACCACAATTATAATGTTCAGTTTTGGGATAAAAACTTTAGATATTTTACATGTTTCTATTGTTAGAGTTGGAGATAATTCTAAGTTTATAGTTTAGTCCCTTTTTTTCTCAATAATTGAATTCATAACAAGTGCGGTTAAATCATGATAATTTTTTTTTCACTTTTAAATAAACTATAATCAAGTAGTATGATTTATAGTCATGATTCCAATTTTGTTACCTGGTGTGATTTTTATAATATAAGAGAGAGAAGAAGGGTTTCTTAATTAGATTTTTCTAAATATGATTTTAATTTACGGCTAGGTGTACATGTTATTAGATGGTTAATGATGCACAATTATTATTAATCATTAGACCGATCTAATATCATGATCTTAACGTAAACATTTCCACACAATTTATAAGTTCTGATTGTTAGGATCGAGCGCTTACCACTAGGCCAAAAGCTATAGCCGTTAGTCAGAGCGCAACTCTTTTTACTTTAACAGCCCAAGCGCCACGATTCAATTGTGACTCGGCCCACCTGACCTTCGTCACAGAACAATTGATGCTACCTGCAACAATCTCCCCCTCAGCAATTGTCCTACAAGGTATCCCACTCTTGGATTGTGACTTGGCCCACCCGGCCTCTGCCACGGGACAATTGTGCAACCTGCAACAATCTCCCCCTCAACAATTTTCTTAGTATGCTCTGTGGTTGCAGCTTTGTCTGATCTTCCACATCAGAAAAGATTTGGTCTTTTTTCTTGGGAATCTCGGTTTAGAGAAGCGGTGGGAGCTTTCTTGAAAGCGGTGAGAGCGATGGCATTGGAAGAAGGAAAGGTGAGGATCGAGAAGTTCGATGGCGGTGACTTCGGGTTCCGGAAGATGCGAGATGGAAGATTATACGTATCAGAAGAAGTTGTATCTACCCTTGACAGGCGAAGCCAACCGACATGGAGCGATCAGAATGGGAGTTGTTAGATCGGCGGACGCTTGGTGTGATCCGGTGACATTAGCCAAGAATGTTGCGTTCAACATCATGAACGAAAAGACAACCGTAGATTTGATGCAGGCGTTGTCAAATATGTATGAGAAGCCCTCTGCGACCAATAAAGTGCATTTGATTCGCGAGGCTAGTCAACCTCAAAATGGGTGAAGGTAACTCGGTTACTAATCATATTAGTGAATTTAATGCAATTATTGCGCAGTTGACATCGGTGCGAGATAATATTTGATGATGAGGTGAAAGCATTAATTTTATTATCATCTCTACGGAAAGTTGGGGTGCAAGCATTCTCTGCGATAAGTAATTACTGCAAGCAATAACAAGTTGAAGCTTGATAACATCCAGTGACTTGATCTTAAGCGAAGATGTTCGCAGGAAAAATTCGATAGAATCTTTCGGTTCTAATTCGAGTTCAGCATTGAGTACTGAAACTAGAGGAAGAAGTCGCCGAAAGGTCGTAATCAAGGCCGAGGCGAGATCAAAATCCAGAGGGAGATCACAAGCAAAAGTCCGGAATGATATCACTTGTTGGAATTGTCGGAAAAAGGGCCACTTTTCAAATCGAGTGTAGGGCTCCAAAGAAGGACAACAACAACAACAAGAAGCAAGATGATGATCAATCAGCAAATGCGACGAATCGATGAAGTTGAAGATGCAGCTGTTATGTAGTTTAGATAATTCTATTGACTCATGGATTATGGACTCAGGTGCGTCATTTCATACTACACCTTCCTTAGAACTATTATCTAACTATGTTTCTGGAAAGTTTGGGAAGGTCTACCTTGCAGATGGAAAATCTCTTGATATCATAGGAAGAGGTGATTTTAACATCGGAACCTCTAATGGAAACGTGTGGACTTTGAATAATGTCGGACATATTCCAACCTTAAAGAGAAACTTAATATCTATAGGGCAGTTGGATGATGAGGGACATTACACCACTTTTGGAGATGGACATTGGAAGGTAATGAAAGGTAATCTTGTTGTTGCTCGTGGAAAGAAGCAAGGATCTCTCTACATGATTGCGAGATGAGGATATGATATCGGTTGCGAAGTTGGCAACAATTCCTCCTTATGGCATCGAGGCTTGGGCATATGAGTGAGAAAGGAATGAAGCTCATGATATCAAAAGGTAAAATACCTAACGTGAAGCATGTTGACGTTGGACCTTGCGAACATTGTATCTTTAGAAAGCGAGAAAAAGGTTAGCTTCTCAAAAACAAGTAAGTCGTCTAAAGTTGAAAGACTAGAACTAGTGCATACGAGATGTTTGGGGGCCAGCTTCGGTGAAATCCCTTGGAGGTTCACAATATTATGTAACCTTCATTGATGACTCTACAAGAAAGGTATGGGTTTATTTTCTTAAAAATAAATCTGATGTGTTTTCTGTGTTTAAAAGGTGGAAAAAGGAGGTTGAGACTCAAACAGGTTTAAAGGTCAAATGTTTGAAGTCCGATAATGGTGGAGAATATGACAGTGAGTCAATTCAAGGAGTTTTGTTCGAAGAATGGGATCGGAATGATCAAGACAAGTTCCAGGAACACCAGAACAAAACGGTGTGGCGGAAAGAATGAACAGAACCTTGAATGAGAGAGCAAGATGTATGAGAATCCAGTCAGGATTACCCAAGGTATTTGGGGCAGATGCAATAAACACAGCGACCTATCTCATAAACGAGAGGACCATCGGTTCCTTTAGACTATAAGTTACCCGAAGAAGTATGGTCTCGGAAAAGAGGTAAATCTTTCACATCCGAAAGTTTTTGGTTGTGCTTCATATGTTATGTTAGACTCTAATAGTAGAGATAAATTGGACCCTAAGGCAAAACGTTGTTATTTCATTGGTTATGGATCTGACATGTTTGGCTACGGGTTTTGGGATGACCAAAACAAGAAAATTATCGAAGTAGAAATGTTACTTTTAATGAAAACATGTTCTATAGAGACAGGATTGCAGAATCTCGCAAATGTAAATAAACAACTAGAGCAAGTATCATTAGAAGAAATTTCGGAAAGTGATGTAGTCAACCGAAGGCGGAATATACAAGTAGAGCCTATGTCGAGCACTGAGACAGAACCCGAACAAATAGTAGAGTCGGCAACTCCCGAAATCTTGGTTAGAAGATCTAGCGAGAACAATTGTAGCACCACAAAGGTATTCTCCTTCATTGCATTATTTGTTGTTGATCGATCGTCGGTGAGCCGAGCATTTTGCTTGAGGCTATGCAGGGAGATGAATCTATTAAGTGGGAGCTAGCAATGGAAGATGAGATAAAGTCCCTTCGGAAGAATAAAACATGGTCTTTAACCAAGCTACCAGAAGGAAAGAAAGTTTTGCAAAACAGGTGGGTCTATAGGTTGAAAGAAGAACCGGATGGCAGCAAAAGATATAAGGCTAGACTCGTAGTGAAAGGGTTCCAACAAAGACAAGGAATTGACTTCACAGAAATTTTCTCTCCTGTTGTCAAGATGACTACCATCGAGTTATCTTGAGTATAGTAGCTGCAGAAAATCTTCATTTGGAGCGATTAGATGTCAAAACTGCATTCTTACATGGGGATCTTGAAGAGGAAATTTTTATGACACAGCCAAAAGGTTTTGAAGTACAAGGCGGAGAAAATCTTGTATGCAAGCTTCATAAAAGTTTGTACGGATTAAAACAAGCGCCGAGACAATGGTACAAGAAGTTTAATGAGTTTATGAGAAACTCAGAATTTCGCAGATGTGAAGAAGATCACTCGTTGTTATGTGAAGAAATATGTTGATAGCTATATCATTCTTGCCTTATATGTTGACGACATGTTGATTGTTGGAGCTAATATGGCAGAAATTGACAAGTTGAAGAAACAATTGTCAGAGAGCTTTGAAATGAAGGATCTTGGTCCAACCAAGCAAATTCTTGGTATGAGAATCTCCCGAGATAGAGATAAAGGTATTTTGAACTTATCTCAAGAAAAATATATAGAAAAATTGCTTAGCGAGATTCAATGTTGGGAATGCTAAAACCAGGAATACACCTTTGGGAACTCACTTAAAGTTTTCAAAGAGGCAATCTTCTCAAACAGAAGAAGAAGAAAGTCACATGTCTAAAGTGCCATATGCATCTGCAGTAGGAAGCTTGATGTATGCTATGGTTTGCACCGGACCGGACATAGCACATGCAAGTGGGAGTTGTGAGCAGATTTCTATCAAATCCCGGAAAGGAGCATTGGGAAGGAGTGAAGTGGATATTCGAGATATTTGAAAGGCACTTCAAAGATGCATTTGTCTTTCAAGAGAAGTAATCTCATTTTACGGGGTTTTTCGATGCGGACTTGGGAGGTGATCTTGACGGTAGAAAGAGCACAACAGAGTTATATTTTTACATTGGGTGGTACAGTTATCGGTTGGAAGTCTAAACTTCAAGGAAGGGTCTCTCTCTCAACCACTGAAGCGAGTATGTAGCTATCTCGAAGCGACGAAGGAGATGATATGGTTGAAGAACCTTCTAAAAGAATTAGGAAGAGAACAAGATGGTTCTCCGTTGTTTAGTGACGATCAAAGTGCTATTTGTCTTGCTAAAAATCCAATCCTTCATTCCAGATGTAAGCACATTGAATTGAAGTATCATTTTATCGAAACCCGATAAATGATGGAGACTTGAGTTTGTTGAAGATTCCAGGTGCGAGAGAATCCCGCTGATATGTTGACCAAGACTGTTACAACAACTAAGTTGAGGCTTTGCATTGCCTCAACTGGCCTTCGAGCAAATTGATGATGAAGGCACTACACTAGGTGGTAACGTAAATCAAACTCCAAGTGGGAGAATTGTTAGTATTATGGTGCTTGATTTAGTCCCACATCGATTAGGATTGTGAGATGAGGTTCTCTATTTTGTTATATAAGCAACCCTATGTAAAGTTTGAGATACACACAGAAATAAAAATACTTCCTAGTGTAGTCGTGGACGTAGGCATACATATTTTAGCCGAACCACGTTAAAATTCTTGTGTCGTTTATTTTCTCTCCTTCATTCTTTCCTTTATT